ATGTTGCTGCTGATCTGTTTCATGTTGCTGCTGATCTGTTTCAATGTTGATGTGTTCATGCGTGCACATCTGCTCACAGACTCATGTTCATGTTTGTGCTGATGTTCAATGTTTTATGTTATGAGTGCTTAGTGTATATTTAGTTGATGTTTTTCTTAGTTCATATCTTAGATGTTATTACTGTTTTTCTTAGACATTTTATTGTTGGATGTAACTGGGACCACGTGTACATAATTTCGCTCCACCACATGTACCACATGAGGTGCGAATGACAATAAAGAAACTCTGACTCTGACTCTGATGGTGCAACACTGGGTCCAAGCAACTGAACCAGAACCAGCTTCCTCTGACCTTGTTTCACAAACAAAAAGCAAAAAACATTACTTTCTAAACCTATAAAAAAACCTATTAATCTCTAAAGCTAAACCTAATGCGCACCACAGCTGGCAGTGGTGCGAGGTGGTTGACCGCACCACTGTTTTTAGTTTAGTTTTTGACGTGCCACACGTTTCTTTCACTTTTGCAGCTTAATAATAAAAACTAATAGTTTTTAAAAAAGAAGGGAAAAAAAAGAAACTATCCAGATGACCTGACTGAAAAATGTTGGATTGTATACCTGGATTATTGTTTTCAACCAGTTTGACCAGACTGTCAACAAGGAAGAGGGCCGGCAATGGAGGAGGGGCGTACCAAAGAGACCATCTTATCACAAGCAGAACTGGTTTGTTCCACTTTGGAGCAAGCTGTTAGAGGATGAATCAATTTTGTTGTGTGTTTCCTTGACTGATGAAGCCTTCTGGATCGAAGGCGAAACGTTTCAGCACAAAAAAAAAGAAACTGTCCAGATGACCTGACTGAAAAATGTTGAACTAATAGTTTAGTTTTTCCTGTGACTTATTTGCAGTATGATAAATGGTAGGAGCATAATATATGCTCCCAATGTTTTGTTGGTCTTTTTTTGTAAATAATGACCTTTTTTGCGGTTTTATTTATTTATTTTTGTATCTTTAGATCCTATGATGTCATCAAGTACTCAAGTTCTACTCAAGTTTTATGCTCGAGTTAAATGCTTATCAGAGCTGTACCGGCTGACACCAACATATTTTCAGGACTATAGTCTATCTGGAAGTGCTTCATGGACAAATCTCACTGTCTTGTCATCAAATGCCTTTGTGTCTATAAATGTGCTGCTGGCAGAGTTATTTTTGATGTCTTAAATTGTGTCCTGATAGGACAAGATGGGAAGAGATCTTTTTTGTAATACCACTATCGTCTCCTCATGGCCTTTTCCCCTTTTCTATCTAAAAAATATAAGAGGAAGAGGAACAGCAGCAACATGCACTCCACCCATCTTTAGGACGACTATATGAACATAATCTCACCGTATTTCAGTACAATAATAATAAAGCTTATTCTGATTCTGATGTCACGCGACCGCATTGGAGTTACGCAACCACATGGAAGTTACACTACCATACTGAAGTCACGTGACTACACTGAAATCAGACCACACTGACATCACACAGCCACACTGAAGTCATGCAACCGCAATTAAGTCAGGTGACCACACTGACATCACATGACCACACTGTGGTCATAACCACATCGAGTCACGTGACCACACTGACATCACACGACCACACT